CGCTTCTTGTGTATATATATATATAGAGTTATTTATATATACATACGCATGCATGCATACATACATACATACATACATACATGCATGCATGCATGCATACATACATACATATATATATATATGTATATTATATACACATCTGGACAGCAGATGGACCGTGTCAGACGAAATAAGTTCCGAGCTCCAACGTCTGGTAGAAAACGGCGACATCGAAGATCCATTGGGTGGAAGTACTGCCGCTGTATGTTTACATTCCGGTCGCTTGCATCTGGCAAGTTTGGCCTTTCATCCTGGACCTTCCTTGGTCCATCACGTCCTCGAGTGCCTGCGGGACTTTCACGTCGTCGACATCAGCATTCCTGCTTCTTTTGGGAGCGCTTTTCTTCTTGGAAGAACCCTGCAGTCTTCTTCGGTAAAGTTGAGCCAACGTTTTCAGGTTCAGGCTTCTGGAAGAAGTAGTCGGTGCCAGACGAGAGCACACGTGATAAACATTGTACTTTTCTGTGAACACAAGTTTTTGGTGGTCCTGCTTCATCGGTACAACATCACCGATTGCATTCTCATATGAGTAAATTGGAAGAAAGATCGTGGTTTGACCAACCTTCGTCAGCAATGCCGGCGCTGAAACCATTTTGCCGTCGTCGACCATCTTCTCAATGACATTCTGCGCCTCGTGTTTGTTGAAGTTGAACACGAAATTTGATTTGGCATTCGTCAACTGGGCCAGAGTGAACCAGTCCTTGCGCTCGTCACACAACCACTGACGGATCTGTTGAACACCTTGTTTTTGTTCGGCTCGATGAGCGGCGATCATGGCCTGAGTTCGAGAGATGTCTTGATTACGTGCGCCAGTCTCGACTGGAGGTTCCCTGTTCGCGAGAAATTCCAGAGTTTCCTGTACCGGATCGGCTGCTGCAGTTTCATCCGGAGTCAGACCATAACTGTGCCGCACGGGCGCCAGAATCAGACCATCGTCGAAACCGCGAACAACATACTTTTCCAGGACATCGCGACACTGGACAGCGGTTCGACTTCGTGCGTAGTTCCCCAAACAACGCAGTGTCACCAAACAGGCAGGCCTGTCCCTTACTGGTGATCTTTGTGAAGACCATACTTCAATGTATACTTATAAGTATAAACCATGTGGACATGTAAGTTGTTGAAACAGACATAAAAATTGGCAATGCACTTGCTATGCCGGATATACATGCTGCACGAATTATATAGTTGGATATTAAAGACTTAGATGGCGTGTAAGTGCACATGGTAATATAAACGGATATCAAGTCCTCGCTAAACGGATAGGAGGACTTGGCAAGTGGATAGGTCCCGCTCCGATAACGGCATTTTTTGCCACTGTGGACCAATATTTCTCCGCGGATTTAACTGCTATAGGTTCGTCGTTGTAATCGCCGGGAACTCGCTTTTCATTTCCGGAAATCATTTTTTTATCCGCCTTGTGCAGCCTTTTTAATCTCCCCGGGTTCATTTTTGTCCGTCGCATGGCCTTTTTTCAAACCCGTCGCTCCATGCAAGTACGAACCGCGGTTTTGGCTCCACTGCGAGGCTCTCGCCCGCAGCAGGCACGATACACGCTCTCAGCCACGCAGGCAGGCAGCCACGCGCAGGCACAGCCAGAAACAAGCAAACAGACCGCCGAGCAGGTCTAAACCGTAGAGTCGTCACTGAACTCTGCCTGCAATGAGGCACATGCTATACCCAATCAGACAGCAGAAACGCGACGTTCAACTCCAGACCCTATCCCAAATCCTGAATCCTGAGACCCAAACAAAATACCTCAGCCTGGTACCTTGTTGGTGATGAACAGCTTCTCCCGCTGCACACCACTGTCGGCTACGCCCTGCAGCAGCTCGTCGGGGTAGCTGGGATACCTGTTCGCGGTTTTGCGGGTTCGGGATTGTTGGACATCAGTGCAAGTTGTACTCTGTACTTCTTCGTAAAGACAATCAGGGCTGCATGTCGTAAGCAGCGATCGGGTCCTGAAGTTCCGAGATGCCTAGAAAAAGTCTCGAAATGCCGGCAGGGCTTTAAGAGGCCGGGCAAAGGACTATTCTTTCTTGCTGCATGGGACTGCGATTCACTCGTAAAGTTAATAGTGCCGACTCGGTACAATCTAGATGCTTGTGCACATGCACTTACCTGAGCAACGGTACGTGTTGCTCGTACCACCGAACCTCCTTCGAGAAGGCAGCGCAAACGCTACAGCTTAAACCGTAACTGGTTACAAAAGTAGTCTTTTGTAGCGAAAGAAGCTGAAGCAGGTTGTGTGAATATCATTCAACTTAGGGCCTTGTAGGGTTTGTGGCTCAGGACTTCATAGGCTTCAAGCGGATATCTTATCTTCTGAGCCGAGCTCTACATGCTTGCCTATGTAGAGCCTGGAGCACTAGTGTCATTCTCATTTTGTAAACAGACGTTTTGAGTCACTCTGCCGACGGCACACATCGTGCCCGAGTCCAGATGTCTGTATCCGGCCCGCAATGCAAATGCAATGACTTCCTGATGAGCAGAACTTTGTGCTTGGGTTTAGTGTTTGGTCCTGTAGCCTTGAAGCTTAGGCTTATGGCTTAGCTTCTAGTTTCCCGAACCTCAACAACAAAACCTAAACCAAACTCTGAAACCTTTGCCCCGGCTGCGGTTCAGATTCAGATCCATCGCAGCGCTTGTTAAGGCTGGATGAGAAAGTCTGCATGGGACAAAAGCATGCTCCCCATTGCATTGAGGAATGCTGTTTTAAATGTCCGTTGCATCAAGAAGATTTAGCTGGTCCAAAAGACCGCATGTCTTTCGAGCGTCTTCGAGCCCACAGCTTGAACGAATCTCGGTGCTGAACTCAGAGCATGAGCATTTGCTGGGTCTTGCGATGCTAAACACCTGGAGCCCAAGAAACAACTCCCGAAGTAATTGACCTGCAGACTCTGCAAACTGCAAACAGTTAAACGCGCCCGTAGGCCTTCAACGTGCAAGCATGCCTAAACCCTGTTAAGACCCGAAATTTAAGGCCCCTAGCGCAAAACTTTAACCCTGAACCCTGACATTGTAAACTCTACACAGCCTTCGCGCCCAAGGCCTCCATCTCATGAGTTCTATCCTGAACCCACAGCGCTGTGATTCTCTTCCCTGTAGACCCCCTCAGCTCACAAGTATGCTGGCAGGTCTCTCTGGCAACCTTGCCCGACATTCCACCAGTGCCTAGTGCAAGTAGCCTCGGGCTGGAGTTTGTACTTACAAGCCCAACCTACGAAGCCAGTTGTAAGTTACGTGTCTTATTTCTGGAACCTTTTGCAGGAGGTGTAGAGATATGGGAAAATACGGTTTGACGCGGATTGAGGACGACGTCAATCACTTGTGACCTGACTCCTAGCAACACGTAACTATACAAACACCTTGACTCTTCTCATGCGAAGCCAAAACTCACGAGCCATTGAACTCGCTCAGCCGAGCCTGATGCGCAACCACGGCAAGCAGTCATCAGCAGGCACACTGAAACTGCCTTCTGTACTGTCACCATGACGGTTGAAACTGCCGTCACTGTCAATTTTCATGCAATGTAAGGCTTCTTGTAATATCTATTCACCGGCTTCTCGTTCACCCTGTAAAAAGGGAAGACGCGAGTCTACAGCCAAACAGGAGAGCACACGACTCCGGAAGGAAAATCATAAGCCACAGCCGCCAACCTGAAGCCCGTCAACCCAAGCCTGGGCCTCTGTCATATTGGCAAGAACTGTTTTAGTTACCCTGTTCAGTCTTGTTACATACCTTCAGCTGCTGCCCAACGGCGGCAGCCGACGACCAGAGCCTTTGAGAGGATCCGAGACCAGGCCGCTCTTCGCAAGCGAAGCCGCCAGGGCCTCTAATTTAGGGTCGTCAGAGGTTCAGCGCCTCGGATGTAGGATATTTCAAGCCTCGAGCATGTGAGGTGTAAGGCCTATAGGGCCTAGGGTTCGTTCTTTAAGGCTCGAGGTTTGCTACGACCCCACGTACTTTGAGAACTACTTCAACTCTGAAGGCCGCAGGTTGGGGTCAAAGTAGAGGTCAAGGAGTCAAGGGCGAGAGTAAATTCCTGAGGCTTATGTGAGACTGAGAGTGTATTGATGTACACTTGGGGTTCAGTGTGCTTTTCGTTCAAGGTTTGGAGCAATGCGCTTGACTTCACTCGAATTGAGCTAGTCTATTTTGTCCGACTTCAAGATGGAAGTGCTGAGAACTGTGACTCTGTCGTCCAGGTCCCATATACGCTCAGTGAGGAATTTTACACTTTGAAGGAGCATGAAGCTCCTTCCTCGCGCCAGTGAATCTTGGACCTTCAGGGTGGTTGTTGCGTCCTAAACCTCATGTACTTATTGGGCGCCTGAATGAAATCGCAAAGGGCTGCCCAGGCACATGCCGCCGATCTGTCAACCCAATCACGAGGGCATCGCGGGCACGCAAAATGCGCCTTCGTGGGTCTTACAGGCAGGCTGAAAGCGCATGGTTTCGGTCTTAGAATTTACCGGTGGGGTTGGGGGTTCAGGGATTAACATGGAGCTTACAGGTTTGGGATGTAGCCCTCACGTCCTTCTTTTGAAGAGCTTCTCTCCGTCTGCAAGAGGTTGCACGTAGAATAGGACCATATGCAGCAGGACATCCCGCTTGCAAACTGTCACAGGGAATCCGAGGAATGCCTGACTGAATTTTCCAAATCAATAGTCAGCGTACTTCCACTGGACCTACAATTTTCGAGATTGAAACCAACCCGAAACGAATCCGAGCTAGATTGGTGCATGCGATTTACCCACTGCAAGCAAAGGCGTAATGTGTCGCTACAGTTTCAGTCAAGAAGTATGAGGCATGAGCTTTCAAGCAAACCCTTTGTCTATTCAATGGAACGAACCATACGTGACGGTTTCTGTTCTCCAGTTATCCCGACCTGTACTGCATAGCAGGAAGCCAGTCATGCGTAAAATGGCGCTACCACTCAAAGTTTCAAGAGGGAGAGAGAGAGAGAGAGAAAGAGAAAAAGACTGAAAGATAAAGACCACGCGATTAAAACAAACTCCACACTCCGAGAGAGTGACTCTGAATGTATGGTGTTGGAAAGCTGATGGGGAAGCGCACCTCAAATTTGACGGGGCTCTTCCAGAGTCGGGCTCCCAGTTTCTATAACAAGGCTGCCTACATGAAGGGCACGTAATTTAGTCGACAGGACAATAGCCAGCACGCTTGAGAGCAGCAAGTGTGGTTGGTCGTGATGCCTACGAAGTAGAATAAACACGGCAGCGGATATAGGATTTCGGGTTGAGTGTTGGAAAACTTGCAAGCATTGTCTTGGATCACTCCTTTTCCTCCTTGCAGTCAGAATGCCAAGTCTACCAACACAACCACCCTGCCCCAATCGCAACGGAAACGCGAAGAGAAAGATCACGCGGGGCTTATTAGATTTGAGATTCAGGGTAGCTTCTGGCTCAGGGAAGTTTAGGGCTTAAGCTGTCGAGCCCGAAACCCCTTCTGAACCGAATCCCTAGTTCTTAAACCCTAAATCTCGGTTCAAGCAGCTGGCATGTGGCACAACACAGAGGCATCCACTGGGAGCGAGAGGCACAGTTCCTGCCGCAGATGCGAGCGAAGGAGTATGGGAAGAGTTGGGGATCGTTGGCAGGCCCGGTTTCGCTGCAGGATTTTTGGACACCTTAGGTTTTTTTTGTCTTCCTCTTGGACCTGCCTCAATTGCTTCTCCAGGCCGGCGCCAGGCCTTCGCCCAAGATGACTACAATGATTAGGAAAGCGTAGAGGGCTCCAGCGGCAGCGTGCTAATTGTAGAAAGGGAGGATGGCTCTAAACACCCCAACAGTCAGGCAGCACCTCCAGTCGGCACGCCCAGCATCACCGCCGTCCAGCAACCGCTCTTCGCAGTTTGCGTGCTCCTCGAAGTTCTGGAATTCAGGATGGGCATAGGTCCCCACATGTGTATCAAAGTAGTTTCTTCGACTTGTAAAAAACATTCAACACGTGAATCTCGAGTTCGTCGCTAGGCTTTGCATCACATGGCATTCATTTCTATGAGTGGTTTGTATGTGTAGTTGTTCTGTAGGATACATCGTATAGTCGTATATTACACTTCAGACCATGTATCACACCGTCAAATGGCTCCAAAAGCACTGTCACAGGTAATCCTGGAATTCCTTAAATGAAGTTTGCGATTGGAGGATGTGCGGGGGAGCTCGGAGAGCATGTAACGAAAAACCAGGAGGCTCCCGAGATTGCACCCTTTTATGCGGCATGCTGCATCGAGCTTCTTGCGAGTGCCACACTGTCTAAAGGGTCCAGGGCCTGTTCCTGCATCCAACACAAGTACTCCTCTCCTGGCTGTCTGTCCACGGGCCGATCTTGGTCAACAGCTCAGCTTTCGTGGGGACTCTCCGGCTTACGAGGCTTTGAGCGGTTAGGCTTTCACTTTCAGTTCTGGCTCTTTGAACCGCGCAACCTAAATAGACAAATCGTAGCCGCCAAAAGACCCATAGCTCCTGTAGTGACCTTAAGTTGGCTCGGGACACATCGGCATAAGGGCTGAATGGCATTACGCTGCGAACAACTCCAGTTTCGAGCAAAGCCCAACAGGCCCTAACCGCCCAGCCGCCCACATTCAATCTCACACGCCAAAGTGCCGCAAAGCCCAAACGCACCCGAAGGCGCCAAAACCCTAAAAGCCCCGAACCTGAAGTCCTGAAGCAATAGATTGTCCAGCAACATCCCAGTGCCGCAAACTCCTAAAGGAAACCGAAGATGCAGTACATGCTCTGTAATCAAGTATCGCAGGTTGTAAACGGTGTGTTGAAGAAGATTTGTTCTTATGTCTAAACCCCGTGTAACCCTGCCCTACATATGACCTCCACCCCGTCCGGGTGGTGGAGCTTTCAGGGTCTTCGGGGATTCAAGGCTTTCGCGGACTTTAGGGGAGAAGTCGTAAGTGCGTTCAACAGGTCCCTCTCTGGGAGTTTCAATACGCATATGTATGCTATGCGGCTTCACCGTTTTGGATTTCGAGGTTTACCCTTAGATGCTCGGGATGCCATGTCAGGTCAGGGTCTTGAACCGATCACCCTACCGCATCATTTCGAGCCTTGCATGGAATGAGCGGTGTAGGCTTAAAGCGTAGCATATTGAATTGATAAGGTTTGGGGTGCAGCAGTACTGCAGGGGGTTTTGGGGAGCAGGATTAGGTTTCACGGCTGAGAGTGTACCCGAAACTGGTGTAGAACCTGCTTTTCTGGGCGCTGAGCATACACACGGCCAAAGACAACTGCTTGTACCTGAGAGTAGGTCCTGCGCTATTCAAAAATTAACTCACAACCGCGTACAAAGGCCACACGACAACAACAACACGTAACCTTCAGTTAAACCGATCAAACACGTCTCCGGACAGGTCGCAAGCTTGGTAAGCGCCAGTGCACCCACATCGTGGCAGTCTTCACCTAGAAGTGCACTTTACATCCCTTTCTCGGCAGTCTTCATACTGCGGATGCAGTACAGGATTTCGTGCTTGGGTGTCGGAGGCTCTGAGACTCCCAATTTCGGATTCGGGCAGGTCAAAGGTTCAAGGCTGTTTAACTCAAAGCTCCGAAGCTGCCAAACTTTAAACCCTTGAACCTGCTTGACCTTGAGACTGCGACCCGGAAGCCGGGCCTGAACTCCATGGTCCTAAAGCCCTAAACTCCACTACCGTCGAATGCACAAAAACACATAGCTCTAAGCCATGTGAATTGTATGCGATTGTCAGGAGAACTTCAGAGCTGATCGCCCCCAAACTTCGGCTTTAGGGTATTATGTGGCTTACGGGTTTGTTTGAGGCTGCAGGGGTTTACAGGTTCTTGAGGGTCTTCGGATTCATCCAAGGTGGAATACTTTACGAACTTCACGGTTGAGGGATTCGCATGCAGGGGCTTAGCTAGGGTGTAGCATTCAAGGTTGTGTTCAACGTTTGGAAAGGCCAGGGTCAATCTTTGCCGCTCCAAATGCTATGCCCAGCTGCATAACAAATCCCTCCAAAACCCTGCAACGCTCAAAACTTTGAAGACAAGTCACTGTCGGGATCCAGGGTCTCATCCTCCGACGTTGCCGCTGCTACAGGAGGCCCGTACATTGAAAGCGGCCCTGATGGGATCACCGGTTCGGGTTTGGGGCGTTGGGCTTTGAGTTTCCCAATTTCTATGAGTTCATGGCTCCAGTTCGGGCTCTCTCTATCTCGTTCGCTCTCTGAGGCTCTCTGTCTCTGTTGTCTGCTTTCATCCTGGAATCCCCCTCCAAAATCTCACGTGGGGTTACCCTCCACCACCCATTTTTGCCATATTTTGGGGTCTGGGCCAGATTAGATGAGTGGGGGGGGGAACCTTGGCAACGCCCGGAAGTCCTTCCTTCTAAAAGGGGGGGGGGGGCGGGGACGTCACCCACCCCATTTTATAAAGGAGTGCTCCCCTGTGCAGAACAAACCTGATTCCTTCACGACCACCACCACCACCACCAAAACCACTCCACCACCACTAAAATCCTCATCCCACACAGTAGAGCATAAACCCGTAATTTCAAAATCAAGCTGAAGCCTAGGCCCAAGCTCTGCCATGTTTTGCGTGACGAGTTACGACCACTTGGGACTGCGTGAGCCGGGACATGCCGGGACTGCATGAGCCGGATCTCTGCCCACTTTGAAGACAATAAACATGACAGCAATTTTCCTTTCGAACTCATGGTGTTTATAGGGCTTAGCGGTTTAAAGTCGTAGAGAAGTTTTGGAGTTTAGTGAGTCGTTTGAGGATTTCAGGTTTCTGTGGGTTTGGCGGGGTCAATTTTGTGAATGCACATGGGGCAACAATGTCATCTACAGAAAATGAGAGTCGAACCACAGGATCCTTATAAAACGGGGGAGGGGGTAATGTGGGGGAGGTAAGGTTGACGAACCACCGGAACCGCTGTTAAACCCTGTTAAAATGAGGGGGTGGGGGGTTAACGTCTGCCAAACCACTAAATCCTCATTAATATTGGGGGTGCGCGACCCCAACTTTCTCATAAACAGAACCTGTAAGCGAGCAGGCCCACGTCCTGGCTCCTGACAAGTGGGGTTGTCTGCCAAACCCGTATTAACATCCATATCCCTGGGTTCCTGTTATCGTTCTTTGTTCTTCTTATCGTTTTCCCAAAGAATATGCATAGTTTATCTTACAACATTGGTACTCATGCTAGTAGTAGTAGTAGTAGTAGTAGTAATAGTAGTAGTAGCAGGAGTGGTAGTAGTAGTAGTAGTAGTAGTAGTAGCAGCAGCAGTAGCAGTAGCAGTAGCAGGGGTCCTCTCCCTCTCCCTCTCTCTCGCCCTCTCCCTGTCCCTCTCCGTCTCTCTCTCCCTCTCCCTCTCGCTCTCTCTCTCCCTCTCTCTTCTTCTTCTTCACAGCCAAAAGAGAAAGCAACGCACCCCCTTCCCCCTTCCCCCTGCGCTCTCTCTCTCTCTCTCTCTCTCGCTCGCTCTCGCTCTCGCTCTCGCTCTCGCTGTCGCTCTCGCTCTCGCTCTCGCTCTCGCTCTCGCTCTCGCTCTCGCTCTCGCTCTCGCTCTCTTTCTCTCTCTCTCTCTCTCTCTCTCTCTCTCGCTCTTTCTCTCTTTTCCTACCTGCGTGCATGCATGCATTTTTCGACTGACTCCCGCGATTCCGCAGGTTTTAGCATGCATGTTTTAGCATGCTGGCGGGAGTGGGGGGGGGGGTTGGGGGCGGGGCGGGGGCTGATGCCGTACTTTTCTTGAACAAATATCGTGTTTTGCTCAGTATTTGCAATCCTTTCGTGTTGTAGTCTAGTCCAATACCAACGATGGTGATGATGATGATGATGGGTTTAGCTATAGGCGCCAGTACTCCACTGCCCGTCCAAGCGAATGTGTAAAATCGTCCACCACGTAAAATTTTCCCTAAACGTTTGCTTCATAATGTCCTCAAAACCACTGTAAAACGCACAAAACGCCCCATTCGAAGTGACCTCTCTCGAGGATCGCGCTATTCCTTATAACTCGTCCCCCGAGCTAATTATTATGTGCTGACACCACAGTTTGGCGCGCATTTGAGCCTGCACAACAATTAAGACACTCACATGCAAACCATCAGGAGGCACTTGACGAGGGGATGCTATCATGTTTGCATGCGTGTTTGCGTGTATGTCTGCGTGCTTGCATGCATGCGTGCGTGCTTGCGTGCTAGCGTGCTAGCTTGCTTGCTTGCGTGCTTGCGTGCTTGCGTGCTTGCATGTTTGCTTGCTTGCTTGCTTGCTTGCTTGCTTGCTTGCTTGCTTGGTGCGTGGGTGCGTGGGTGGGTGCGTGCGTGCGTATGTGCGTGTGCGTGAGGGTGTGTGTCTCTTTTTTTCTGTGCGTGTGCGTCCGTGTTCGGGAGGGTGGGTGTGTGTGTGTGTGGAACACCTGTTTGCCAAGGTTTCAATTTTTAATCTGCAGGGGGACACAGCATGTCACTGGGACTGTGTCCAACGAAGCTACCAGTGACATGGGAAGCAAGGGCTGATCACCCTTGTGTACCTGCAAAGAAGCTTAGTGCATCTGCTGATTGCAAGTGAAGATGGCTCGGGGCTAAGCCGAAATCCTCTTCAGGTCCTACTCCTCTGTGTTGGAAAGACTGCTATCATGTATGCTAAGACAGTCCAGAGGGAGGATTGCAC